AGTTTGGAAGGGGAGAGCCACAAATCCAGGCGTTCCCACCAGGGGGAGATGGCTGAGGGAACAACCCCAAGGTGGAAGGGGGCAGAGCCACAAATCAAGGAATTCCCAAATCAAGGAATTCTCAAAAACTCAGGACCTCAAGTTTGGAAGGGGAGAGCCACAAATCCAGGCGTTCCCAAATCAAGGAATTCTCAAAACATCAAGACCCCAAGTTCAAAAGTGCAGAGCCACAAATCAAGGAATTCCCAAAATCTGAAGACCCCAAATTGAGAGGGGCAGAGCCACAATTAACTCCCAAGTCAAGGAATTCCCAAAACCTCAAGACCCTGAGTTGGAAGAGGCAGAGCCACAAGTCAAGGAATTCTCAAAATCTCAAGGTCCCTGGTTGGAAAAAGCAGAGCCACAAACAAAGGAATTCCCAAATCAAGGAATTCCCAAAACCTCAAAATCCCAATTTGGAAGGGACAGAACCACAAATAAAGGAATTCCCAAAACCTCAAGATGACAAGTTGAAAGCAGAGCCACATATCAAGGAATTCCCAAAAATCAAGGAACTCCCAAAACCCCAAGATCCCAAGTTGGGACGAAGCCACAAGGAATTCCCAAATCAAGGAATTTCCCAAAACCTCAAGACCCCGAGTTGGAAGAGGCAGACCCACAAATCAAGGAATTCCCAAAACCCCAAGACCCCAAGTTTGGAAGGGACAGAGAGCCACAAACCAAGGAATTCCCAAATCCTCAAGATCCCAGAGCCACAGATCAAGGAATTCCCAAAACCCCAAGACCCCGAGTGGTGCCTGCAGAGAGGCTCCTCCATTCCTGGGATGCCTGTGGATAAATAACCCTGGGAACTGTGTCAATCCATCCGGGATTGCTCAACATTCCAGAAGGACGTGTCCGTTCCTACTCGTGGATTATTGGCACCAACCACCGGGGCTGCTCCGACCAGGAATCCAACCCTCCAATCCCAACCCAAGGAGGGTTTTCCCACCAGGACACACCTGTGTGGTGGGTCAGGGTGACCTCTGGCCCCTCAGTCCGGCCAAAAACAGCCCGAATTCCGACCCTGTACGGGGTGTCCGGCTCCAAGTGGTCGATCCGATGAGCCAACACTCTGCTGCCCAGGAGCTGGGTCTTGGCAACCTGCTTTCCTGGGAAAAAAAAAGAGGGATATTTCAGAGCCTGGAGCTCTCCCTGGTGGCATCCCCTCCAAAGGAAATAGCCTTTGGAAGAGGCAGAGCCACAAAATCGAGGAATTCCCCCCAAATCTGAAGACCGCAAGTTGGGAGGGGTAGAATCGCAGTTTAAGGAATTCCCAAACCTCAAGACCCCAAGTTTGGAAGGGGCAGAGCCACAGGTCAATGAATTCCCAAATCAAGGAATTCCCGAAACCTCAAGACTCGAAGTATGGAAGGGGGAGAGCCAAAAATCAAGGAACATCCAAATCAAGGAATTCCCAAATGCTCAAGACCCCAGTTTGGGAGGGGCAGAGCCACAAATCAAGGAATTCCCAAATCAAGGAACTCACAAAACCTCAAGACCCGAGGTTGGAAAGGGCAGAGCTACAAGGAAGTCCCAAATCAAGGAATTCTCAAAACCTCAAGACCCCAATCTGGGAGAGGCAGAGCCACATATCAAGGAACTCCCAAAATCTCAAGATCCCAAGTTGGAAGGGGCAGAGCCACAAATCAAGGAACTCCCAAATCAAGGAATTCCCCAAACCTCAAGACCCAAATTTAGAAGGGACAGAATCACAAATCATCAAATCCCCAAAACTTCAAGAACCGAATCTGGGAGAGGCAAAATCCCAATTTAATGAATTCCCAAAACGTCAAGACCCCTACCTGGAAGGGACAGAGCCACAAGGAACTCCCAAATCAAGGAATTCCTAAAAACTCAAGACCCAGAGTTGGAAGGGACAGAATCACAAATCAAAGAATTCTCAAAACTTTAAGACCCCAAGCTGGGAGGGGCAAAATCCCAATTTAATGAATTCCCCAAACCTCAAGACCCCAAACTGGGAGGGGCAGAGCCACAAATCAAGAAATTCCCAAAATCTCAAGACCCCAAGTTTGGAAGGGGCAGAGCCACAAATCAAGGAACTCCCAAAATCTCAAGACCCAAAGTTGGAAGAGGCAGAGCCACAAATCAAGGCACTCCCAAATCAAGGAATTCTCAAAACCTCAAGACCCCAAGTTGGAAGGGACAGACCCATAAGGAACTCCCAAATCAAGGAATTTCCAAAACCTCAAGACCCCAAGCTTGGAACAGACAGAGCCACAAATCAAGGAATTCCCAAATCAAGAAACCCAAAACCTCAAGACCCCAAGTCTGGAAGGGGCAGAGCTACAAATAAAGGAATTTCCAAAACCTCAAGACCCCAAATTGGGAGGGACAGAACCACAAATCAAGGAGCTCTCAATTTAAGGAATTCCCAAGACCTCAAGACCCCAAGTTAGGAGGGGCAAAATCCCAATTTAATGAATTCCCAAAACCTCAAGACCCCAATTTCGGAGGGGTAGAGCCACAAATCGAGGAACTCCCAAATCAAGGAACGTCCCCGCACTTTCATTCCGGAGCTTTGGGGATTATTTCATAAATAAAGGAATCCGAGGAAAGAAGGAGTTGCCACCAACAGGACCGAGTTTCTCCATCGTGGGATCCCCCTTTCCCTGCTCACCTTTTCCCGCTCCCACGGCGCTCCAGGTGACTCGGAATTTGGTGGCAGTTGCTGTGGCCCCCCAGGCCAAGGACAGGCTGGTGCTGGTGAGGGACATCACCCTGAAGTTGGGGACGGAGCCCAGGGGAGCTGCAAGGGGAGGACAAGGTTAGTTCCCAAATTCCCGTCCAACAGGGCTCCTCGTCGGCATCGGGATAAGGCCAAAATTATCCCAAAAGGTTCAATTTGCTTATCCTTGGTGTCTCCTCATCCTCACTTGGAGAGGGTATTAACTCTATAATACATATTAT